TAATTATTACCTTCGTTCCATTCCATGCTAATTGATAATGTAGCAACAATCATTCCGTTATTTATTTGTCCCGTACGATACGGAATTGTTGCAATTACGTATTATATTTGCCGCTAGTTTTTATTAACTCCGAAAGCGCAGGAATTTCCGAAATAACGAACTCGTTTAAGGAGCTGAACACTCGCCGTTTCGCCGGTTAATTCGGTCTGAGAGGAAAAAAGGCGAAACGAGGCAGGCTATTCGGTCGCGCCGGGTTGATATTTGGTTAATGTTTTAAAAACGTCCACCTCCCGGGTCGCGTGTCCAATTGTTAACCGGCAAGTAGGTTAAGGGGTCTGCGACTTAATTGCCGACGAGTCTTATCATTTTTTTAATTGAGCCAACTGGAGGTTCCTTTAATTACGCACGTGCAGCAACAGAGAGAGACATCCCTCCGCGAACAACTCTGCGCTCTAGTCCTTTTTTCTCGTATTACCGTTTTTCTTCCCATTTTCTCTTTTCCTTCGCCGTCCGAGAAAACATTTTTAAATTGCTCAGGGAATTGTTCGTACGTTGTAAAAAAGATACGATATTCTAACAATTTCAGTTTAATTTGTTCGACACAAGAAATAATTATAAATTGTTCGTCGTGTAACAGTTTTCCGAGTGAAGATACTGGATCTAAGAACTGCATAACAAATTTGTAGGATTCGAGAAAGTACATATTGTTAGTTGAGCCTAGTGGAAGGCGTGTTCATATAAGTTGTTGAATTTAAAGCATAGCCAGGATTTTATCTACGGTTTGTAGAACAGCACACCCTAACGAATGCCGTGTTCACCAAGTATCAGCGATCACGATCGTTCAAACGAGAACACGTTAACTTTTCCACGTCTTCTGATATCGTTTAGGTACCCCAGTTTCTCAAAATTACTGCCACGGATATTCACGCGGCACGAGCGAATTTCCCACAGTCCCGATTGGCCAAAAATCTGCGCGTTCGACGGTTTATCCCGAGGCGAGATCAATGAGAATCATCTGAAACGGTGCATTATGCATCGTGCACGCAACCGGCGGGGGATAGGTATCGCGAAATTCATGGAAAATAGGCGAACGCAACCGCGGAGGTACCGTTACGAGAACAAACCGCCAGATATGGAACGATTCGACCGACGTTTCCTCGTGTTACACATTTTTACAGGCGTTACCTTCACGTGTCGTGATGACTCCTCGCGCTCGTCTCCTCTACGTTTTCTATCCATATTATCACGTACGATGTAATTGCGAGAAATAATATTGATCAGAAATCAAGTGTGCTCTTGTTCATGAAATATCTAAAGAAAAAATCCAAGGCATCTCTGACTGTAATAGTGTAGGAAGAGAATGTTTCTATACTAACTCTTCTTTATTAAATTTAGAGTACGCATGAATATTTCACAGTAAACGATTACTAAACGAAGGTACAAAAATCAGAACACACACACACCACTTGTACACGTATCCAAATCGTAATCGTAATCCGTTAATCGTAATCGCTGACCGTGATCGTAATTCGTTGTTCGCTGATCTGTATTCTCCTCGCCAACTGTCCTTTTCGACTGACTCGCGATCAGCCTTCGCCTGATAACGCTAACATTCCCTTCTTGAGGATGTATTGGCTATACAGTCAATTCCAAAAGTTTATGTACCTTAGAAAAACGCATTTCCTATAATTAAAAAGAAATCAGACGTCGGAAGAATAATGCTAATAATAAATAGCTACGTGCTAAAAAGTATAGAAG